CTTTCTTTCTTTCTTTCTTTCTTTCTTTCTTTCTTTCTTTCTTTCTTTCTTTCTTTCTTTCTTTCTTTCTTTCTTTCTTTCTTTCTTTCTTTCTTTCTATCCTTCCTTCCTTCCTTCCTTCCTTCCTTCCTTCCTTCCTTCCTTCCTTCCTTCTTTCTTTCTTTCTTTCTTTCTTTCTTTTGTTTTTTTTGTTTTGTTTTGTTTTGTTTTTTTTGAGACAGGGTTTCTCCGTGTAGCCCTGGCTGTCCTGGAACTCACTCTATAGACCAGGCTGGCCTCGAACTCACAGGGATCTGCCTGCCTCTGCTTTCCCAGTGCTGAGATTGAAGGTGTGCGCCACAATACCCAGCAGTACTTTATTTTTACTGTTTTTTTTTCCCCTTTCTTTCTTTTGGTGGAGTCAGTGATGGAGAAACAGCCCAGGGCCCGAGCATAGTAGACAACATACTCTAGCAACAGTGCCAGCCTCAGCCAGCACTTTTGGGTCTGGGTTTGCTCAGTGTGTTGGCTAGGGAAATAATGATTATTCCATGTACCTGCATCTCTCCTGCTGGGACAGACATCAGACAGATGTGGCCCTGGAAGTCAACAGAAGACTGCACTTTGGCCCTAACTAGACATAAGTGGGTTTACCAGTAGTCCCATTCTTTCAGAGAGCCACCCAGACTCCTGTTTCCCCATAAGATTACAGTCAAGAGGCAGCCATCTGCTGTAGGCGATAGTAAACTTTGACTTGGGGCCTCTACTTTTAACTGTAAGAGTGGAAGAAAGCCCGTTGGAATGGAAAGTACATTTCATTAACTAGGAACGGACCAGTGCAGCTTTAGGAGACACAATCTCACTCAAGCGGTGGAGTTTTCATTCCCTGGAGGCAAAACACTGCCTCTCCCAGGGAACATGCCCTGAGCTGTACAAATGAAGGGGATTCTCTTCCTCCTCCCAGCCCTCAGACAGCAGAAAAGCATCTTATTACCATGTTTGCCGTTCCAAGCAAACAGATCTGTACATGCCTGCCAGGACTTGAATTCAGCTGCTCCAGAGGTCTGGAATGTTGACCACCAACTAACCCAAGGCAGGGCAAAGACGGCAGATCTCTGCCTCTGTCTCATGCTTTATATTTTATTCCAGGCTCTAATGCTTTCATCAAACACAGAACAAGAATGCAGGAGCCCTCAGGCTCCCATCCCATGGGGTGGCCAGCGAGCTTTGAAGCACCTTGATCATAGCAACTTTACCTTTGGAATGAAATGTTTAGCCTATTTTGCCCAGGTCCCAGTGAACAGGCCTAGAAATGATGCATTCCTGTGATTAAATAAGATAAAAACCCCCTCGGACTACACACACAGTCTGTGTAGTTATTACAACTCAGATTTTTCCCGCTTACAACTAAGCTGGCAGCTCTTGCTGCGAGCCCAGACAGGAAGGGTGGGGTGACTTCTGCAAAAGTGAAGCAGCCGTGCTTTGGAGAAGTTGATTCAAAACGGAGTTTACAGTTTCCCAACTGGAGACCTTGCTATAGAGAGTGGCAAGGAAAAGTTTGGAAAGCAACCCTGTTTTGTTAGCCTGGGACAAGCCGAGAGGGTGACTGCGACAGAGAATACACCGTACCTCCCCGTCCTCCAGTTCCACGTCCAGGAAATCGAAGTCCCTGAAGACTCGGAACTGCTGCTCACTGTTGGTGTCGTCCATGTTCTCCTGCTCCCGGGCGCCGTCCTCAGAGGACACCAGGCTCGTCTGGTGCTCTGGCAGATCCAGGTCCCCGCACGAGGAAAAAATCACCTAGGAGCCAAAGGAGCCCTCTTCTGAGAAACTCACCTCCCTTCAGTTGTTTGTACAACCAGTGATGGCCATTGGCTCCCTGGAGGACCGTGTCTCCAGTACACACCTAATTCCTTAAGTGGGTATTTTTAGAATGTTCTTCTATTATTTATGTTGGACAGGTGCCTTCGGATTAAACTCGCTGCAGACACTCAAGTGCTTACACTACAAAAGCATTCTAGAGTTGAATGGCTATCTCAGTGCGGATGGTGAGATAGTGTGTGTGTGTGTGTGTGTGTGTGTGTGTGTGTGTGTGTGTGTGTATGTGTGTGTGTGTGTGTAACAACTAAGCATGTGTTCACAGCCAAACTGGAGCAACTAAAATTTTCCACTCTTGCTGAGCTGAGGTTAGAAATTATGTACCTTCACACGTCAAATGGACATAAATAATATTTTACGGATGACGTCAAGCTATGTTATTATAAAATGAACCTTGGGAACAAAGGCTTTAACCCTTTGAGAGATAAACCAGAGACTGGAAAGGATTAGCAAAGAGAAGCCAAATTCCTATGTGTAGGTTCTTTTTAGTTAGACATTCTATTTTTTTAATTAGTTAATCAACTTCTTAAGACAGAGTCTCATGGTGTGTCCTGGCTGGCCTGGAACTTTCCATATAGACCAAGGTGCCCTTAAACTCAGAGATCTGCCTGCCTCTGCCTCCCAAGTGCTGGAATTAACAGAGAGTATGACTCAGCGGCAGAGCATTTGCCTCATATACAGAGTGTCCGGGTTCAAGCCCCAGCAAAACCAGAGGAAAAAGAAAGAAAGAAAGAAAGGGAGAGAGAAAGAAAGAGAGAAAGAAAGAAAGAAAGAAAGAAAGAAAGAAAGAAAGAAAGAAAGAAAGAAAGAAAGGAAGAAAGAAAGAAAGAGAGAAAGAGAGACAAAGTGTTGGGATTAAAGGCGTGCACCACCATGACCAGCTATTGAAACATTTTAATAGATCTTTAAAAAAAATGGTTGGTTCATCCTGTCTTTGTTTTTTTGAGATAAGGTCTCATTATGTCTCTTGGGCTGCCCTAGAACTCTTTATGTAGCCCAGGCTGGCCTCCATTCAGGAGGGTCCTCTCGCCTCAGCCTCTGGGTTACTATGTTTACAGGTGTAAATCACCATACCTGACTTAATAGAACTTGGAAGAACTAATAAACAGCAAATGTTTTGCTAGCCACTGTCTGTTGAATACAGATATAAAATCAAATCAAAAGCTTTCTTTTGTGAACTGAGGTATCCAGGGGAAAAAAGGGGGGCACAACTGTGTTGAAGATTCTACAAGAATGAATGGCCACTGGGCCGTGGTGGCGCACACCTTTGATCCCGCACTCGGGAGGCAGAGGCAGGCGGATCTCTGTGAATTCAAGGCCAGCCTGGGCTACAGAGTGAGTTCCAGGACAACCAGAGAAACCCTGTCTTGAAAAATCAAAAAGAACCCAAAACCAAAAAACCATAAAATCAAAAACAAAACTAAAAAAGAAACAACCCCCCCCCCCCAAAAAAAATGAGTGACTAATTAGGACTTCATTATTGTGGAGAATTGGAATACTAATGATCCAGAGCTAAAATCATCTTGGGCTATTTTTAGTACTCTTACTGACCATTCTTTGCTTACCCTTGAGTCTGACCCAACATCCATTTGATTTAATAAGTAAAACCTGCCGGGTGGTGGTGGCGCACGCCTTTAATCCCAGCACTCGGGAGGCAGAGGCAGGCTGATCTCTGTGAGTTCGAGGTCAGCCTGGCCTATGGAGTGAGTTCCAGGACAGGCTCCAAAGCTACACAGAGAAACCCTGTCTCGAAAAAACAAAAATGAAACAAAACAACAAAAAAAAGTAAAACCTTTGAAATACATTCTTAGCAGGCCACTAGCTTCCACCACTCCCAGCTAAGAACGTCATCAGATGTCGTCTAGCAGCAAGGATTCCCCTGCTTGACGTGCCCTGCTTTTCCCACCAGTGCATTTGGTAAATGCCATGATTTACGAGAAAAGTTCCGTGGTGGTGGTGGAACACGACATTCTGGTCAACCTGAGTCTGTGCTCCCAGGCCACAGTCACTAAAATGTGGCTCAAGGGCTCCAGAATAAAGTAGCTTAATTCTTTTGAGGGGAGAGCTATATTCTGTGTCGACACTTGATATAACCATTATAATAGTCCCCTCTTGCTTTAAAGTGGGCAAGTTATTGTAAGAACAGAAATGTAACAAATACCTTTCCAGGTTAAAAAGAGTGAATGGGGATTGAATGTAGTAATTTTTTTTCTCTAGTGTGTAAAAATAATCCTGTGTTTTGGACTGCATAGATAAAACATCTCAGGTCTGAAAAATCCAAAATCTTAGAATGTTTTAAAACTAGCCAGGTAGTGGTGGCACATGCCTTTAATCCCAACACTCTGGGAGGTAGAGGCAGGCAGATCTCTGTGAGTTCAAGGTCAGTCTGGTCTACAAAGAGAGTTCCAGGATAGCTAGGGTTGTTACACAGAGAAGCCCTGTCTGGCGGGGGGGGGGGGGGGACGGGACGGGACGGGACGGGACGGGACGGGACGGGACGGGACGGGACGGGACGGGACGGGGGACGGGGGGACGGGGACGGACTCGCTCTGTAGACCAGGCTGGCCTTGAACTCAGAGATCCTCTTGCCTCTGCCTTCTGAGTGCTGGGACTAAAAGCATATACCACCGTGTCTGGCTTAAATCTGAAACTTTTAAAGTGATGAAATGCTCCAAATGTTCAAATTTCGGAGAAGTCTAGATTTTTGAGGGTTGATCACTGGGTCAAGTGTACCCCAAGTCTCCAAAATCTATGATACACTCACGTTGGAAGCACCTGGTCCCAAGCATTTCAGATAGGGAGCATGTCACCTGTTTCCCATGAACTGTGTGCAATATGACACACCCTCGTGAACAGGCAATCACAAATGAGCGTGCAAGATAAATCAAACAGAGGGCTGTGGAGTCTTCCACTCAAGTCCGGTTTCCTCCACGGACGCACCCTTTCTGGTGAGCACCGCTTAACGATTGTAACGGACTACAGGCAAACTTTTGTGGCCAGGAAATCTGAGGGTGCTCAGTGTGAACTTGGGGAAGAGTGCTGCCCTGAACACCACCACTGGAGCAGAGATAAACGGTCCCATCGTGAAGTCACACGACAAAGGTGACTTAAACAGAAACCCTGTCTAGCCGGTGCTTTCCCAGTTGACACGTTGGCAGGCTTTCATGGGCCGCTAATATTTTACCTGCTCGTGAGCAGCAGACATAGTCTGGGCCATTAAAACACAGCCTCACAGAGAAATCGGCGCCAATTCTAAATGTCTTAGTTTGCTATTTCTTTTTAAATGAAGACTAGAGATACTGTAATACACAAAAATATACATGGAATCCAGGCCCTGAGGTTTTTAACATTTTTTTTCCTAAAAATATGCTCACCATACATAATTTGAATGTTCTGAAATTACTTTCAGAAATTTGCTTCTGTGCGTCACTCATCTCTTCATCTAAAAGCCTGAGGGCATTTTCTTTTCTACCTATAACACCAGTGGAAGTTTAAATGTCATCGTTTTGATAAATACTTGGTTGTTTTTTGGTTTTTCAAGACAGGGTTTCTCTGTGTAGCCTTGACTGTCCTGGAACTCCCTCTGTAGACCAGGCTGGCCTTGAACTCACAAGATCAGCCTGCCTCTGACTCGCCAGTGCTGGGGCTAAAGGCATGTACCACCATTGCCCGGCTTTGATAAGTATTTGTAATGTTTCGTTTTTTTCATTGTGATGTGACTAGCAAGCAGACTATAACATTTTTAGTAAACTTTGGCCAATACATCCTTATTTTCATGTTATTTTATGCAAGTAAAATGGTGACATCATAATGCAATGAGTGAGCAGTGGGCAAAACTATATTCAAGAGGAATTAGAGGAATGTGCCCATATGTCACGGAGATGCGGCAGACACCATCATGTATGTGGTGGTGTAGTCTGGGCGTGTTTACACAAACAAACAGGGTCTGAACATAGCTCTTTTCGAAGGCGAACCGGAGCAAAGGGCAGCGAAATCCTCCCTTGTCTCTGCACTAAAATTATAATTCATGGGGCGAGAAGGGAGAAACACAGGGGCTGAATGTAATGGTGGCTATCGGACTTGTCATTCACAGTAGAATCTTCAAGGTCAATGTCAGAACAGACCAAAGGCAAAAGCAATACGATACCAAAATAACCATGGCACACAAAAGAACTTACAGATGGGTTTTTGCTTAGTCCAACTTCTTGGCCACACAGAGAAAGGACATGAACCAATTTCTCTTTTGTTCTTTTCTGGAAAAAAAAAAAAAAAAACACAGGTAAGATTTTCATTCTGAGGCCCCATGAGCAAATCTGCCTTAATACTATAGGTCCTAGCTACAAAAAGTAGATGGTAATGCTTAGAATGTAGCCCCAGATAGTTGAGATATAAAACACACAGGCTTGGCACATCAAGAATGTAAAATAACTTGTTGATAATTGTAAAATAACAATAGTGTATTCAAATACTATTTTACATATGCTGAGTTAACTGTCCTCATTAGAATTACTAATTTTGTGATGAAGGGCCATGACCAAAGCAGCCTGGGGAGGAAGGGGTTTATTCAGCTTACGCTTCCACATCACTGTTTATCACTGAAGGAAGTCAGGACAGGAACTCACGCAGGGCAGGAACCTGGAGGCAGGAGCTGACGCAGAGGTCATGGGGTGTGTGTGTGTGTGTGTGTGTGTGTGTGTGTGTGTGTGTGCGCGCGCGCTGCTTATTGGCTCGCTTCCTGTGGCTTCCTCGGCCTGCTTTCTTATAGAACCCAGGGCCACCAGCCTAGTGGTGTTCCTACCCACAATGTGCTGGGTCCTCCCCCATCAATCACTAATTAAGAAAACCTCCTAGAGGTTTGCCTGCAGCCCGATCTTTTGGAGGCGTTTTTCTCAGTCAGCTCCCTTCCTCTCTGATGACTCTAGTGTGTCGAGTTGACATCAAACTATCCAGCACAGTTACACAGACTGTTATTAGGTTTGGCAAGATGGCCCAACTGGAAAGATGCGTGCCGTCAAACCTGGCTATATGAGCAGTGGGATCCCCTGAACCCACACGGTGGAAAGAGAGAACTGACGCTACAAGCTGTCCCATCACCTCCACAAACATGGTGTGGTTGGCATGTGCTGTGGCATGTTCCCAATCCCTCAAATACATACATAAAGTTAAAAGTGGAAAATTAGTTTTTTTCGAGGTACTAAGGAGTAAGTCTGGGGCTGCAATGCATGCAGGCAAATGTTCTTAACACAGAGATGCATCCCTAGGCCTCTTTTTATTTATTTATTTTTAAATTAAAACAACTTTTATTTTGTGTGCATGGGTGTTTTGCCTGCATGGATGTCTGTGCACCACATGTGTGCTGTACCTATGGAGGCCAGAAAAGGGCTTCAGATCCCCTGGAACTAGAGTTACGGATGAATGTGAGCTGGCATGTGAGTGCCAGGTCCTCTACAGGACACAGTGCTCTTAACTGCTGAGCCATCTCTCCAGCCCTATGTTATTTATTTTAAAGTGACTGTTAACTAAAACAAGGCTCTCTCCATGTTTGAACTGTACAGGGCTGCCCTCTTACCCAGGGTGGGTGTGTGCCTCTATGAGAATCAGTTCCTAGGCCCTTCAGTGGCCATCCGTGGGCTCCCTGGATATCCCTTCTTGTACGTTACAACTTTTAGTTCCAGAGAGACTTGGCTTTTCTTCCATCAGAAAGAGATGTATTTTGTTACAGAACAAGCCTTTTCTGGCTCCAGTGAGAATATTCTTACTGTTAGTTATTCATAAGCCATGGCAAAGTTAGAATTAAGTTAGGTCTAAATCCCTTTGCTTTTCTTCATGAACCTCCATTTGCAGCCTCTTATGTATGACAAGACTCTTCTAGAACCAACTGCATTTCCCAACAAGGTAACGAGGGTTTCAGAACGAAAAGAAATACGGTGACTGTGACCTAGAGATGTTGACATAGTTAAGATCCAGTCATAAAATAATCCTGCAAATCCTCCTTTATCTGATTTTGGTTTGTTAGATGGAAACTTCTAGAAGCTGCTATTCATGTTAAGATCTTCTTCCTCCTCCTTTTTTTGAGAGTCTCTGTATGTAGCCCTAGATATCCTGGAGCTACATGGATCAGAATGACCATGAACTCACAGAGATCCACCTGCCTCTGCCTCCCCTCTGCTGGGATTCAAGGTGTGCACCATCACATCCAGTTTAAGATTTCCTTTCTTTATGGAACTTGGTTCATTATATCTTTCACCCCAAGTGATAGAATTACTCAATGTGGGATCACTTCACAGCGAGACGGGAGGGCTTTGCTGCTGAATGGCAGATCTCAGTTATCTCCTTAGCCTTAGTTTCATTCTCCAACTCTGAGGTGAAACCAGTGAAGCAACAAGGCCCAGGCCAGCCCCCTCCTCATCTCTTTCCCAACCACGACTGCAGCCACCAGCCACTGCCGTGTCTCACTAGGCTCTGGGCTGGCCTTCCAGTCCTGGAGATGATGGTGAGCTGTGAGGTGTGCAGACAGAGTATTGGGCTTGCTCGGTACCCACCTAGCCCACTTCTGAGAATCCAGGCTTTCTTTCTATCCTGGGAAGGTCTCCTCTTTGCCACCTTCAAACACTGTGCAAGAGCCCCTTCTCCTGGGCTGAAGAGGTGGCTCAGTGGTTAAGAGCACTTGTTGCTCTTACAGAGGACCTGGGTTCAGCTCCCAGCACCCACATGGCAGCTCACACCCATCTGTAAGTCTAATTCCAGGGAATCTGGCATCCTCTTCTGGCATCCACAGGTGCTGCGTGCACATGGTACGTACACACACACACACACACACACACACACACACACACACACACACCACTTATACACATGGAATAAACATAAACCAATCTAACAAAAAGCTCCTTTTCCAGAACTACTGTGGATGTCAGAAGAGGGTGAGTAGTCTCCAGCCTGAAATCATCAGAACCCGAAGCCATGAAAATCTGGAGCCACTAGAATTTGCTGTTGCTTCCTATGGAGCTAACAGGAGGCCAAGACCTTGGGAAGGGAAGGTGGGGCGGTCAGGAGTGTTGTGGGATAACCTCTGCAGGCTGTGGATGTGTTTTATTACCATTGGTTAATAAAGAAGCTGCTTCGGCCTATAGCACGGCAGGATGGAGCCAGGTGGGAAATCCAAGCAGAGATACTGGGAGAAGAAGGGCAGAGTCGGGAGAGATGCCAGCAAGCTGCCAGAGCAACAAGGTATACCAAAGAACAGGTAATGCCGCAAAGCCACGTGGCAAAATATAGATGAATAGAAATGGGTTAATTCGAGTTATAAGAGCGAGTTAGTAATAAGCCTGAGCAATAGGCCAAACAGTTTGTAATTACTATGAAGCCTCTGAGAGATCATTTTAGAAGCGGCTGCGGGACTGAGTGGTACAGAAAAGCCTTTGTTTACAAAGGAGAGAGAGAGAGTCTTAACGCTCTGAATCCTAACATCTGGGATGCAGACGTTAACAGCTGGGGTGCAGCTGGGCTTAGAGCTAAGATGGATGCTGCTGTTATTTTGATCTTTAGTTTTTTATCAAAAGCCCAGGCGCTAAAGGCTCAGTCACCAGCTGGCAGTGCTGCCGGGGGGACGGTGGGCCCTTTAGGAGGTGGAGCCTAGTGGGTGGAAGTTACGTCACTGGGGGGTGAGCTCTCGAAGGGGACAGCAGGACTCCTGCCCCTTCCTCTCTTTCTCTTTGCCTCCTGGCTGTCATGAACGAACAAGCCTCCTCCATCACGGTGAACCCTGCCGTCACGGGCCCAGCGGCAGGGCCGAGTGGCCATGAACCGCAGCCTCATGGGCCAACGCGAGTCGTTATCAGCCTGCAGGTATTTTGACTCATTTACACAGGACTCACTAACACGGATGGCTTAATAAAACCTTTTTCCGCTTAAGGTAACTTTCCAGGGGGCGCCTGGCACATGTCACGGAAACACTGGAGAAAAATGCACGGTGTTTGCCTGACGGCCGTGTGGCATCAGAACTGTGATGGTTAGCCACGGGCTGGCGTCCAGTCCTAGGCTCTGATCACTAACCACAGAGAATTCTGGCAGTTCCTCCCGCCCTGTTCTGTTTTGTCTACCGATGTCAACTCTGCTTCAAGCTTATGCTCTGATGGGAACCTCCAGAAGGCCCTTTGAGTGCGTGGCCCCGGCCACTCTTTTTTGGACATGATATCTGGAGGACTCATTTGGACATGGGTCAGGGGACAAGGGTCAGGACTGCCTTGCACAGATTCGAAGAGCTGCCACATGAAAGGAAGCTCGGATTTGTTTCCCAAGCCACAGGAGACATAGAAGCAATGATTGAAGAGGCAAGAGTCAGACAACTGAACACTAACGGGCTGTTCCCAATAAAGGGATTGCCCTTTCGATGCTGAGAGACCCCATGGCTGGAGGCGCCAGGGTCTACATGGCAACGTTACTGGGGGGGGGGTGGTGGTGAATGGCAGAGTTCAGTTTCACAGAGGGACCCATACCTGAGAATACTGGGGCCTTTTCCAGCTCACAGGAACAAGGACATTGGAGTTAGAGCCTGAGGAGGTGGACGACGCACTCCGGGTGACGGCCATTGCCCTCGGCTTCCCATCCCGTCCAGAAGAGTTCTGTAGTTCGTCATATCGTCTCCCGATGATCGGCGTCTGGGGAAAGGACAGTGCAGGGCCACCATTATTCCACCCCACACTTCTACGGTATATGGAACTGTTCAGCCCAGAAGAAATGAAAAACTGATCACGCACGTGGTTAGAACCAGAACCAGATCAGACAGAGAGACTCAGTGCCGTGTGCAGGCTCCTTTTCCTGGTGGATGTATGTTCTGAGCCATTTGCACACTGAATACCCCCCACCCTGGTTGTCAGCAAGGAACCAATGCCATGGCTGCTTCATTAGACTTTAGATCAGCGGTTCTCAATCAGAGCGTCGTGACCCCCTCACCAAACCTCTATCTCCCAAACTATTTACATTATGATTCATAACAGTAGCAAAATTACAGTTATGAAATAATAACGAAGTCAGTGTTATGGCTGGGGGTCAGCACAGCATGTGGAACTGTGTTAAAGGGTCACAGCGTTAAGGAGGTGGAGAACCACTGCTCTAGACCCTAGTGATGAAGACTTGTAAACCGTGAGGCCAGCTGAGTCAGTTTTCAGACGTTTAAGCTTGAAAGAACCACCCCCCCGCCCGCTCCCCCAGCCTCTCTCTCTGTAGCCCTGGTCTCCCTGCCTTGAACTTGCTCTGCAGACCAGGCTGGCTTCGGATTGCAGCCTATTTCCTGTGTGCTAAGAGTATACACTGCTTTCATCATGCCAAACTTGCAATAACTTCTTGTAATAAAAGGTTAAAATTCATTTCCTTCTCTCCAGTCTCTAGCTGTCAACCTTTATGCACTCCCAATTACTGAGAGTTTTATCTAAATTATTTCTATCATTTCAATTGTTCAACTGGATGAGGTCATGGCCAAGGTATTATGCAATACTTTATGACGTTCACTTTCTGAGAATCCTACAGTATGTGGTCAGGCAGGGGGTGCTTTTAAAATTCTGCCTCCAAGGAGGTCTCACAGACACCAACTTGAGATCTTTGAAATGGCAGAAAGTGACCAGAACCTTCTGAACCTAGACTATAGGTCTGGAGCAGTTCTGGGTCCCTGTGAGCTGAGGGATGTAACTAACTGGATAATGCTTCCTCTATTTTTGGATCAAACGAAACTCAAGTCAAAGGCTTAAAAATGGCCCCCTCTCCAAGAAAAAAGTTGAATATGGCTGTTGAATTAATGTATTTTTTTAAAAAAGATTTATTTATTTTTATTTTATGTGCATTGGTGTTTTGCCTGCATGCATGCCTGTGTGAGGGTGTCAGGTCCCCTGGAATTGAAGTTAGACAGTTGGGAGCTGCCATGTGGGTGCTGGGAATTGAGTCCAGGTCCTCTGCAAGAACAGCCAGTGCTCTAACCACTGAGCCATCTCTCCAGCCCCCAAAAGTTGTTTTTTTTGAGACAGAGTTTTTCTGTGTAGTCCTGGCTGTCCTGGAACTTGCTTTGTAGCCCAGGCTGGCCTCGAACTCACAGAGATCTGCCTGCCTCTGCCTCCCGAGTGCTGGGATTAAAGGTGAGCCACCACCGCTTGGCCAGAATTACTATCTTAATATCATTTTCATATTAAGTATAGATGCAGATGTCACATCTTGAATGTGGAAGAGGTGAAAGTTAATGAAGCAATCAGTTCCTCCCCTCCCTTCTCAACTCTCATTTATCTGTGTGATACATGTCCCTAAGTGTGAGCAAGCACATGCCTGCATCCGGGCAGGTGGAGGCCAGAGCAGGGCGTTGGGTGGGAGGGTGGCCTTCTATCTCTTTCTACCTCATTTCCTTGAGACTGGAGACTCACCATTCTGTCTAGCATGCCCTGTCAGCTCTCAGTGTCTACCTTTTTCCACCCTGCATCGGTGGGATTATGGACACACACAGCTATACCAGGTGCTTTTTACAGGGGTGCTGGGGATTTGAACTCTGGTCCTTGTGTCTGGAGAGCGGGTGTTCTTACCCACTGAGCCATCTCCAGCCTGTGGTTTCCATTTTTGATAATTCCCAATTGAGAGCCCTATACTCACGCACTGTTAAAAGAACGGAACCTAATTTAGACTTTAGAGGTCTTCATTTAAAACAAACGTAAGTCTTCCTCTCTCTAGGCAACCACTTTCCCCCCTGGCCACCATATACTCAGGCTACCGTTCCCTGAAAGAGCCACAGTGGGTCAGGACCTCTGAGATGTCGAAGTGGAAGTCCAGAGTCTTGCCCGGCAGCTCCTTGGAGGCACTGGTCCACACCCGGTGGAGTTCTATCTTGGAGAGGTCACTGTGTTGGTACGAAGGCAGCACCAGGCTGGCCGATCGAGAAACGACCAGCTTCAAGATATTCAGCGCTTCCCTCCAGTGAATGCTCTGTTGGCAATAAACGTCCAGGGGTTAGATGTCAGTCCGCGTTCTGAGAGCCAGAGCTCACTACCAAACCATCTCCTGACCGGACAGAATTCCCTGACTTAACACACAGTCTGTAGTTAGGAAAAGACTAACGACCGACAAAGAGCATTTACGAGAGAAGCGAACCACACTATGGGGAGACGCAGGTAACCGGAGACGCAGGTAACCAGATCCGCTGTGGCCATATTCACGTCACAGAGTTAAAGACCGCAGGGCATTGTTTTTGCTAAGGAGCCACCTTAAGCTGTCAAAAGATAAAAGCTTCACATCTATGTTAGACTATTGATCATTCACAGGCAGATTTCCCCGACCCTCCAGGGTCCTGTCTCCTTGGTCCTACTGTTTCTCTGGGTCTCGCTGCTGCTCATTCTTCACTGGGTGTCCTGATCTCATTCCTCCTCATATTGCATCCTGCTCATCCACTGATGCAGGGATGGGGTGCCCTTCCCACCTCCTCCCGCAGGGATGGGGTGCCCTTCCCACCTCCTCCCACAGGGATGGGGTGCCCTTCCCACCTCTCCCTTCCAATAATCTGGCCCCTGTTTACTTACCTGGCTCGTAACTCAGTCGGTCTTGCTTAGACCATTTCAATAATTCTTTCAAAAAGATGTATTTATAATTTTGGTGTGTGTATGTGTGTTAGTGTGTTTGTTCATGCTCCTGTATTATTATTATATGTACCGTGTTTGGGAGCCTTTGAAGGCCAGAAAAGGGCACTGGATTCGCCTGGAAACAGGGTTACAGGCAGTTGTGAGCTACCGTGTAGGTGATGGGAACTGAAATTTTGGTTCTCTGCAAGATCAGCTAGTACTCTTAACTCCTGAGTCATCTCTCCAGTCCCTAGAGGGAGCCTCTTAATACCCCAAGGAAACAGGCCATGTGCCATGGGTGCCCTTACCTCCTGTGAGCTAACCCGTGACTGAACACACATCTCTCCTGTGAGCTAACCTGTGACTGAACACACACTGAGTAGATATCTCTCCTGTGAGTGCTAACCCGTGACTGAACACACACTGAGGACACAATTCTCATTAGCCCTTGAAAAATGAGTGAGAGGAAAAGAAAACCTGGAAATTAAATTTAACATTAAATAATTTCTGGGAAACAGTGTCTAAAATTTACACTCTACACCTTTGTCAATGTGATTAACCAGAGAAAAATCCAGGGTTTGTCCTTGAAATCGGGGACGCACAAGAAGAAAGGATTATGAAGCCAAGGACCGAGGCGAAGCAGATTCCTCTGCCGTTGAGTGTGGCTGAGGGATGACCCACAGAGGAACATGGATTCCCTTCTGTCTGTGGTTGCACGTAACGGATTAGCTACCAGGATCTAGAAATCGCTTTGTTGTCCTGATGTAGTCTCAGGACAGAGCTTTAAGAGGCAGTCCGTGGGTCTTTGCTGATGTGTTCTGCTGGGCAGGCTGCTGGGCCCGGGAAACAAAGGCAATACCCCGGAGCCCCAGAGCCCTGGAGCCAGGTCTAAGTGTGACCTCCATGTCTACTATCTTGGCCCTGACCCTTGTTGGTGTGTGTGTGTGTATGAATTTTAATTTTAATTAATTAGTTTATTGGGACAGGGTCTGGGTTGTCCTGGAACTCATTATGTAGATCAGGCTATCCTCTAACTCACAGATATCCACCTGCCTCTGCCTCTGCCTCTTGAGTCAACGTTGGGATTAAGGCGTGCGCCACCATGTCTGGGCTGTTTTCATTTTTATTAATATTTTTAGGGACTGCTTGTTATAGAAATATTACAATATTACAGAAACAGAGGCCAGCATAACAAACTTTTATGTTCTTATCATTTATTCACATTTTGACGTTTTTCTTCATTTATCTCTCTAATTTTTTTGGTTGGTTGTTGGGTTAAATTCCAAAGTAAAGATCTGGCCTGGAACTGTGCGTGCACACACCTTCTTTCTTCCCTTCTCCATCTTTGAAATAAGACACCAGCACGGGCCCTTCCCCCTCAGCTTCCCAGCCAGGCATGTGCTTGGAAGACTCAGGCTGAGGGCCAATGAGACAGCTACGCCCCTGAAGCAAGGAATGTGTTAAGGTCTCTTTCTGTCTTTCTCCTACAAACGCCACCCAGGGTGTGACCGACTAGCGCGCTTGTCTGTTGGCGACGTGTCGTGGATGTAGAGGAATAAATGTGGGGCTGGATGCCAGATGGCCTGACACCCGAGGGCAAGCCCGACAAGCCTCGTGGGTCTCTCCAAACACTCACCTGCACATATTTTTCAATGGTCTTCAGGACTTCCACGTTGAACTGCTTGACAGGAACAACGGAAAGGTCCATGTAACTGAGCAGACTGTAGATGACCTGGAGGAGCGGCTGCTGCATGCTGGGGAGCCCTTTCTCCAGCAACTGCAGGAGGCAAAGCGCAGCCGTCAGTTCGTCCCTCTGTCCCTCTTCCCCCGAGAAGTACCAGGCTTTCTTTCCCACAACCCTATCATTGCAGCATGCTTCCCGGGCAAACAAAACCCTAACTATTGTTTGTTTGTTTTGGAAGAGGCCTCACTATTTTGCACTGGCTGGCCTCAAACTCACAGACATCCTCCTGTCTCAACCTCTCAAGTGCTGGGATGACAGGCGTGCTCAACCACTGCAGGCTAAAAGCCCAATTAATGAATAAGAAGTAGTGAAGGCAATTCAAGGAGCTCCGAAATCCTAAGCATAAAATTCAAATAGTGAAAAAACAGAAAATAATCCTTGATAGGAAAACTATGGGACACTATCAAAAATACAAATTTAAAGATATAATTTGTTGGTTACCAAATTGGCAAAGGTTTGAAATTGAGAATATTCACTGTTGGTTAATGAGTATTAATTAATGTTGGACATGAATGTTTCATATATCATTAGAGATGTCAATTGGATAATTTAGTAATGGAGATCGAGGAACCTAAAGAGGTCTACAGCTTTTTTGTGTGTTTTGATTTTTGTTTTTGAGATACTGTTTCACTGTGTAGTCCAGGTTTTGCCTGTGTGTAAGTCTATATACCACATGCATGCAGTGCCTGCAGAGGCCAGGAAAGAGCGGATCACTTGGAACTGGAGTTAGGTTACAAGCAGCCATCTAGGTGCTGAGAATCAAACTTCAACCCCCTGGAAGAGCATTGACTGAGGTGCTGAGCACCCCTGCAATCTCCATAAAGCTTTAAAAAATTGTGTGTATGAGTGTGCCCATGTTGAATTTATGTGCAGGTGTACAGGCGCCATGGAGGGCGGGCTCAGCAGCTGGAAGCACACATCCAGCCATGTAGTAACTCCTTGGTAAGATCTGAACCCCACCCCTACTCCCTCCATCTCTCAAGTGCTGGGATTAAAGATGTGCACTGCCTGCCTCTGTGGCCACTCTGTCTGTCTCTGTGGCTGCCGCTCTGTCTGCCTCTATGACATGCACTGCCATGCCAAGCTAGGATCAAGTTTATCTCAGCCATACTCTGATGGGTATAAGTATAGTGAGTAGGGGGTAAACTTGGGAGGCAACTGGATCTAGGGCCAGTTACCTTAAAGTTAGAGCTCATCAGTTAACTGAGCCAAGCCTCGGCTTCTTTACAGAATGCCCAATCACTGGTATGTTGGGAGGATTTCAAAGGAGTCCATTAGCATTTGTGATAACACATGGTAGACAGTCAGGGTCAAAGCTCCATAAACATGTGAACCGCGGATGCTGACATCAATGTTATCCTCAGCGTCATCGCTTACCTCTGCCAGGTAGGTGACCATGTTCAAGGTGATGTCAGCGTAGGCCTCATGAAGGTAGCGACAGACCACATTGACCCATGTGGCACAGTCTCTTGTGTAGCTGTGCGTTTTATAAAGGGTCATAACGTGAGCCAGATTCGAAAGCTTAGGATTTTTTTCTTCCAAGCAAACCTTTGAAGACAAACAGGCCAGTTAGAGCATTCCAATGCACAGGAAGAAATCTTAGTAAATATCCTAAGTCCTATAGGCTGGAACACAGCCCCATATAATTTTTGATGGCCACAGAAATACTCTGTCTAGTAATTAGTTAATACACTTTCCCACGTGCTTTGCTTTCTTTAACTGGTATTGTGTGAACATGGACGTGTGCGAGCAAGTGAGTGCCCGCAGGGCATGTGGGCGTCCGAGAACAGCCCGAGGAAGCCGGCCCTCTCCTTCCATCCTGCGGGGTCTGGAGATGGAGGTGGGCAGACTTGGTGACAAGCGCCTTTCCATGCTGAGCCATCTCTCCAGCTCCCACTGGCCTCTGTCTGTCTGTCTGTCTGTCTGTCTGTCTGTCTGTCTGTGTCTCTTTCTCTTTGTCTTTTTTTCCCCGAGACATGGTTTCTGTGTGTAGTCTGTCCTGGAAATCGCTCTGTAGACCAGGCTGAGGTCACAGAAATCCACTTGCCTCTGGCTCCCAAGTGCTGGGATTAAAGGTATGCACCACCACACCCAGCCTGCTTGCTTTTCTGGATAATGAAGGGAAAAAAAAAAAAGCCAGTTTCCAGTTTGTAACAGACACTTAGAGATGTCCATTATGAGTGGTAGCAACTTTCGAGACAACCACTGCCTTCTCCAAACTGGCCATTTCCATTTGGCCCCGGGATCTTCCTAACGGATCTGCAGCCTATGGAACCCTAATGCATACCTGAGCAATCCTTTCAGCTATATCCTTACAGAACTGATTGGGATTTTCAAAATGCTGGATCAGTTGGGGCAGGAGACACAAGACATTCAGCGGAAATCCTGGAGGAGAGAAGACAATGGCAATGGCTGAGTATGGGACGTTGTGACTGGTAACAGCGGGAAGGTGTACACAGAGTCTGTTTTGTCCCAAGGTGATTCAAAAACAGTCTTTTCGTGGTTGTTTTTTGAGACAGGGTCTCATGTAGATCAGAATGATCTTTAACATGAGCAAGGATGACCTTGAACTTCTAACCCTCCTGCCTCCATTTCTTGAGTGCTGGGATTATTGGGATGTCCCACCACACCTGGTTGTGTGTGGTGCTGGGAATTGAGTCTACGGCTTTGTATAAGCCAGGCACACACTCTATCCACTGGCTACATCACCGGCCCCCAAGGAGCTTTGGGAAGGAGGGTAAGTATGATCAGCTAAAGAAATCTGTAAAAGGGGGCTGGAGAGATGGCTCAGAGGTTAAGAGCCCTGGCTGTTCTTCCAGAGGTCCTGAGTTCAATTCCTAGCACCCACATGGTGGCTCACAAGCATAATAATGAGATAATAATAATAATCACAACCAATAACCTCTTTTGGCCTGCAGGCATACACACAGGCAGAACATTGTATACATAATAAATAAATAAATCTTAAAAAAAGAAATCTGTAAAAAAAAATATATGATAAAAATGACATCAGTTACAAAGAGGCCACTGAACTTACACTTGTGATTTCAATAGTCACCTGTTTGTGGCAACGATGCCTCATGCAGATTTTATTGACATATACAGAACTGAACTGAAGTACTAGTTTAAGATTTTTTAAGTATAAAAATGTAAGCTGGAGGTGGTGGTGCACACCTTTAATCCTAGCACTTGGGAGGCAGAGGCAGACAGATCTCTGTGAGTTCAAGGCCAACCTGGTCAACACAGTGAATTCTAGGCAAGAAAACAAAGAAAGGCAACCCCTACACACTCCCACCAAACCAAACCAAACCAAACAAATCCCAAAAGATTTGGGAATTAGCAAAGAAATGTACAAGAGCAAGGACTAAGTTGACAGTCCTTGCAATTTGACCTAGAAATCATTCATATCCATATGTATATGCTGTGGGATGTTCTGTATGTCCTGTGGGAGCCCTTCTTGGGTTCTTTGTGGCGTTACCCAGCAGGTCCGCATAGAGGATGATTAGGACCACGGGCCTGAGTGCAGGTGTCTGAGATGGTCTGCACTGGGCTGTGCTGGGGGATGGTCTGTATGTCAAGTTGTTCTGATTGATCAATAAATAAAACCTGATCGGCTGTGGCTAGGCAGGAAGGATAGGCGGGACTAACAGAGAGGAGAAATAAAAGGACAGGAAGGCAGAAGGACGGACTGCCAGCCGCCGCCATGACCAGCAGCATGTGAAGATGCCGGTAAGCCACCAGCCACGTGGCAAGGTATAAATTTATGGAAATGGACTAATTTAAGCTATAAGCACAGTTAACAAGAAGCCTGCCACGGCCATACAGTTTGTAAGCAATATAAGTCTCTGTGTTTACTTGGTTGGGTCTGAGCGGCTGTGGGACTGGCGGGTGATCAAGATTTGTCCTGACTGTGGGCAAGGCAGGAAAACTCTAGTAACATGTATATATATATGTATGTATGTATACACACAGACACAAATATATCATCTCTATAAACTGCTGCCCCTTTTATTCGATCGCCAGTGTCTAATACTATAGATACAGACATATAGTATAATCTTATTTCTCTAAGGCCGAATGCAGCCACCATCAGGGCTACAAGGATGCACAATGCTGGCCTTACCGATGGCTTGGGATGAGTCCACCATGGGCACTTTGGACACTGGCGTCAGCAAGCTGAAAAGCTGCAGGGTCAGGTCTGTGGTGGTGAGAGAGGTGAAGCCCTTCAGGAGCAGCTGCTGTAAGCCCGAGAAGTCGGCCCACTGGAGCTGCCCTTGGAGTTTCTCCAGCTTTTCTCGGTTCTCGGCTTTATCCAGCGGCATATGGGCCAGCAGTCGGCTCAAGAGCCTCAAGGCCATGAGGTATTCAAACTCAAAGTCGGACTCCATCAGGGCCACCGTGACCCAGAAGATGGTGGCCAGCAGGTTGGTGGGATGGTTCACGTGGGACGGGTCTGTGAGACTGTCCTTCAGGGAGGAATTGCTTCTGGTTTTTGAGGAAAGACCTTGTTGGGTACAAGCTTGGATTCTGTCCAGCGTGGCGCTTCGAGGCGGGTCGGAGGATCGGTCAACCACACCAAACTTCTTGGGCACCGAGAAGCTCCTTTGGTGCCGGCTCCGCTCTGCAGTTGTGGTATTGCCACTGGGAGTCCCGGGGTTGACGTTCAGCTGACCAGTGCTCTTCCTGCTCGCCGTCAGTTTGCTGCTGGAGTTCAGATCTGGTGACGAAGAACTGGGTATAAACAGAGGTGAAGTCAGCAGAGAGCCAGCATGCGCCACTGAAGAGCTGGTGCTTTTGTCTTCTGAGAAACAGCCAAGGAGGACCACCCCTCGGGGAACACCGCTTAGTCTATGACCACAGCACCCTGAACGTGCCTTGGTAGCTAAGCAGGGCCAGACCTGGTTAGTACTTAGATGGGGGGACTTTCTACTTATGTGTCTTTTATTCTTAACTCAAAGCTATGAAAAATAAACCTTAGCAAGAACAATCTCCAAAAACCAAAAAACAATACTAACTTTCATTTATTGAAAGTCTAAAACCCCAGCAATTTAGTGACCTTTCATTTGTATCCTATTTGAATTTGGATGGGAATAACCATAAAATAAAATATACCAACAAGTGCAAAGTTTATCTCCTTTTAACTTAGAACAGGGAGTTATCAAGAAGGAAAAAGGTAAGTGCACAAGGCAAAGAAAATGTTTTTGCACTTATAAAATTTGATTGTTTCGTCCTGTTTCCCCTTCTGAGACAGAGTCTCACTATGCAGCCCTGGCTGACTCAGAACTCACTATGTTGACCAGGCTTGGCCTTGAACTTAGAGAGAACTGTCTTTTAACTGTATTCACACCAAAAGGTTCAAACTCTTTGTCAGCCTTCCTTCCTTCCTTCCTTCCTTCCTTCCTTCCTTCCTTCCTTCCTTCCTTCCTTCCTCCTCTCCCACCCCCTCTCTCATAGAATCTGGCTATGCATCCTGGCTGGCCTCAGACTCATAATTCTCCTGCGGCCTCAGCCTCAGTGCTAGGATTACAGGTATGAGCCTCCATACTCAGCTTACCTATTACACCTTTACAGATTGAGAGATATGGGTTCAAACGATTGATGATTGCAGTGTTAGTGATCACATCAAAGGTATAGAAAAAGTTCAAGTTATAAAATAATAAAATATTAGCTAGGTGGTGGTACTCCACATCTCTAATTCCAGCACTCAGGAGGTAGAGGTGGGTGGATCTCTGTGAGTTTGAGAACAGCCTGGTCTACAAAGTGAGTTCTAGGACAGTCAGAACTACACAGAGAAATAAATAAAATAATGTCTATGGCGCTGGACAGATTGCTCAGTGGTTAAGGGCACTGACTGGCTGTCTTTGCAGCGGACCCGAATTTGATCCCTAGCATCCAGATGGAGGCTCACCTGTAACTCCAGCTCCAGGGGATTCAACTTCTCTAGCCTCTTCCAGGATCAGTACTCACAAGCACATACCCCCACCACACACATAATTAAAATAATAAAATTAATCTTAAATAAAGTAAGGTTCAAGAGGATGAAAGGTAAATTTACTGACTTGGTTTCAAGAACAAGTTTAGCCACAGAATCATGGGATCACAAATAATTTGAAATGAGTTAGTAATGAAGAGTACAGCCATACTTTAAAGGCTATTAAAGTATTTACTCACTTAAGCCGGCTTCCATTCCAGCTGCTTTTATAGGTGTAGTTTGGATGAACTCTACATACTCATTTAGTTTCTGCTTCCCAATGTAATAAATAGACCATTATTATGTATTATTTAAAAATGTTTGAGGATTTATGTGCTAAAAAGAAGGCTCAGCAGTTAAGAGCACGTATTGAGAGCTCTTACAGGACACATCTGAGTTTGGTTCCTAGCACCCATGTTGGACAGTTCATAACTGTTCCTAACTCTATTTCCAGGAGATCTGATATGCTCTTCTGTGCTACACACACACACACACACACACACACACACACACACACACACACACACACATACACATACACACACACACACACACATTTTAAAAAATCACACTTAGAGACATACACCTTTCCCCCTGCACTCAGGAGGCAGAGGAAGGCAGATCTCTGTGAATGAGTCAGCCTGCCCTACAGAGTGAATCCCAGACTAGCCCACAGTGTCTTTTTCTCTTAAAAATTATTTTTATTATATATGTATCAGAGTTTTGCTTGCATGTATGTATTGTACTGCATGTATTCCTGGTGCCTGCAGAGGCTAGAACTGTGTGTTATGATCCCCTAGAAATGGTGTTACAGGTGATTATGAGCATTCCCACGGGGTGCTGGCACCAAGTTTTAAAAAATGTATATAATAAAAACATATGTATGTTGCAATGCCCTCCTGCCTTTTTTAAATTTAAGGAAATAATACAGGGCTGGAAAGATGGCTCAGTGGTTAAGAATACTTATTGCCCTTGCAGAGATCGGGGTTCAGTTCCCAGTACCTACATAGTGGCTCACAACCACCTGTAACTCCCAGGCACTCAGGTGGTGCACATTTACACACATAAAAAAAAATATTCCTAATAAAAGAAGATACCAAATATACCCTTTAGGTCCTAAGTAGATTTCAAAACCTACATGTATTCTTTGTACTCTGGCCACCATTCGGCACAGTAAATTTGGTACCCAGATTCTCACCGAGATAACACTGTGAAGAGGTCACTGTTCTTCAGGCAGTCGGACAAGTTGTCTACGGCGGCTTCCAAGGTCAGGAGCGCTTCCATCACATAACCCTGTAAAGTACACAGAGCGCTAACACAGAGCTGCTAACCTCCCGAGGGTGAGCTCACCTAGCACGAACTCTCTTCCAGCCACGGCGGGACTTCTGGACTCTAGACAATCATGGTGGTATTCATTGACAAAGTCTAAGAGCCAACTATAAGGCTGGCTTGGGAAACCACACAGCGTAGAGGTTAGCAGAAAGCCACAAGGATTTATTTCCCCAAGTCTGACAGCCTTAGGAGGGTTAAAAACACATCAGAGCAGCAGGGGCCGGGTGGGGCGGGGGTGGGGTGGGGTGGTGAGTAGACCCCTGCTGAGGGGAAGGGCAGGCCACTGAAATGTAGGGGTGACAATGTGTGGAAGCCATGGGCAAGGTGAGGTGTAGGGAGAGTCAGTGCCTCTGTGAAATTTTACCCAAACTTCTGCTGGATGGAAGGGAGAGAGACAGAGTGCTTCACAGGGGGGAGGGGGGGCTGGCCTTAGCCTCACAGCCACTCAGTGCCCCCAAGGCTCTGAGCTCTACCTAGGGGGTCTCTCTCCATCCTGTTTCCAGATCTCCTTACAGCCCTGGGAGTCATCCACACCGGGAAGGGCGGAGCTTGGACCACATACAGTGGGGATCCCTGCTCCGGCTCCGGCTGGACATACTGAGTTTAATTAAGTCCTCAGCAGAGGGCAGAAAGACCCAAAACAACACAAAAGAACCCCAAACAATACAAACTAACCCACCGCCACCTGCCACGTAAAACCACCAAACAGACAGACATCTCGAGGAGCCGTCGAGAGATTTTCCTATGTTCAGGTCACCAAATGTGGTCTGTGGATCCTGCAGAGCAATGCCCTGGAGAGACTTGGAAATAACAAGGGCTAACTTCTAAAATCTATTTCCGTGTGTGGTTCTGAGGGTTAAAGCCAGCCAGCTTCTATGGACTCCAGCAGAGTGCTATGCCATGGAGGGGTACTTAGCGGTCACTCCCTCCCGTACCTGGATCTCATCACCGTGCTCCCCGATCACCTCCACCAATCTCGACAGGAGGTCAGACAACGCATGCGCTGACAGGGGTTGCTTGAGGGCCCGGAAGATCTGGAAGGATCGGCCTGCGTAGTGCCGGGACGAGCTCGCGAGGGCTGTCTGCAGGGCGACCTCACTCAGATGCTGCTCCAGATGGAAGCCTACAGCCAGAAGAGCAGTGGACGGACGTGTCAGCCTGGGTGCTTCACGCTGGTGAGCTCAAGTCATGAGGAGGGTTAGAACCAGCTAACAGCATCCACCACCCATGCCACGCACACACACCCGTGGTGATGCTCACTTAAAAACCAGCCATTTTCAGCTGGGAACAGTGACACGGACCGGGTGACCCTGCCTCAGAAACCAACAAACAGGGTGTGTATCTAGTTTAGGAACAGAGGGTTTGCCTATCATGTGCAAAGCCTTGGGCACTGTGAAACTTAAAAATAAACATAAAGGCCTGGAGGGATGGTTCATCGGTTAAGGGCACTGGCTGCTCTTTCCAGAGGACCTGGGTTCAGTTCCCAGCACCCACATGGTGGCTCACAACCACCTGTAACTCGAGTTCCGGGGATATGATGCCCTCTTCTGGCCTCCACAGGTACTGCATGCACATGGTGCACATAAAATGTCCAGGCAACACAGCCAGCCACATAAAATTTAAAAAATAAAGGAAAGCAATATATAAACCAACAGACAAGTGAACGATAGAACTTTAAGTCATTTCAAAGCATAAAACAAACTTAGTATGATCATGGGACTTGCAGGAAGAGGCAGAGGCTTCAAGGCAGGATGGTCTTGGTTTTAAATCAGAGGGTTTGTGATTCCATAAGAGGCCAAGTCCTTCTCTTTGACTTGTGAGTAGCAGGCTGTATCTCACAGTGATGTCACAAGAATTAAAGAACACAGTGTCTGGCAAACAACCCTTCTGCACAAATGTATTATTTAACACGCTCCTTTTCCTTTATCTTCTTCTTCTATAGTTCTTTCTTTTTTTCTTTGTTTTTTATTTTTGGGTGTATGCTGATGTACACATGTGTATAAGTATACATGCACACGTGTGGAGGTGACATGGTGATGCCAGGTCTTTTCCTCAGTGGCTCTCTCTCTCTTTACTTTTGGAGACAGTGTCTCTCACGGAACCTGGAGTCTGCGCATTCCAGCTCTACTGGTTGGCCAGTGAGCTCTGGAGATCCCCCTGGCCCCCTGCCCCAGTGCTGGGGTTCAGGTGTGTGCCTGCTGGGCATCCAAACTCAGGTCTTCATGTGTTTGCAGCAAGCATACTGACTGAGCTATTTCTTCAGCCCCTGGACTCCTTTTTTATAGAATACTTTCCTTCCCTCCCTCCCTCCTTCCCTCCCTCCTGCCCTTCTGTTGAGAAAGGGTCTCACACTGTAGCTCAGGTTGGCCTGGAACTCACTATGTAGTAGGCTGGCCTCCGGGGCTTGGTTCCTCTTTTCAGGGAGACAGACAGGAATAGAAGACCCAATGAAAATAGTAATTTTTAATTTTTTATGGCTCCGGAGGCCTTTTGACATATCTGGATGTCACGTGAACATGGACAAAAAGGAATAAATCTTACTGCTCTTAGCTGCAGTTTGGAAATGTGTGGTGTGTCGTACATCACACTCGTGTAGTGAGTGCCACAAGAGAAGAGGGATTTGGGGAAACAAAACAAAGTACCTGATTTGGAGTCTTTAAATACGGATACAACATGACGTAGGAAATTAGAAAGCTGCTCCGCGCTCTTCGAGTTCTGGTTTTTGGGTGTGATATCTTCGTGGCACCAAAGTGGACCGAATGCCCTAAAATAAAACAAACTGATGTTAAACACATGACTGTCATTTTGTGTTAGAAGACACACTAGGAGTTCTAACTCCAAAGATAAAATAGATCTTTAAAAAATATTTTATCATTTTTAACTATGTTTAGGCATGTGTGTATCTGCACATCGGTATATGTCATAAGTGCAGTGCTCACAGAAGCCAGAAGAGGGCGTCAGATCCTCTGGATATGGAGGTACTGATAGTTGTGAGCCACCTGATATTGGTGATGGGAACTAAACTTGTATCTTCTGGAAGAACAGCTAGTGCTTTTAACTGCTGAGCCATCTCTCTAGCCATATATATATATATATATATTTGGTTTTTCCAGACAGGGTTTCTCTGTGTAGCTTTGCGCCTTTCCTGGGACTCACTTGGTAGCCCAGGCTGGCCTCTAACTCACAGAGATCCGCCTGGCTCTGCCTCCCGTGTACTGGGATTAAAGGCGTGCGCCACCACCGCCCGGCTGATATATATTTTAAACTTTACAAATTAACTAGAGGAAGTATATAAAAACTTCTGCACATACTCAAAAATAACCCTGATTTGTAGGGATTTGCTTTTGATGTTTTTATCTTTTTTTTTTTTTTTTTTGGTTTTTCGAGACAGGGTTTCTCTGTGTAGTTTTGGTGCCTGTCCTGGATCTCACTCTGTAGATCAGGCTGGCCTTGAACTCACAGAGATCCACCTGGCTCTTCCTCCCGAGTGCTGAGATTAAAGGTGTGCACCACCACTGCCTGGCTGATTTTTTTTTTTAAATTAGTTACAATTAATTAATTATTGTGCATGAGTGTGATGTGAACATGTGGGTGCACATGCCACAGTGCACATGTGAGGTCAGAGGAGGGCCTGGTCTTTCTCTCCACCTTTATGGGGTCTCAGGGATTGAACTCGTGTCGCCAGACTTTCCAGGCAAGTGCTTTTCTTGCTGAGCCGTCTCACCAGCCCTACTGCCATTATTTTAAATTCACTTACAACAATTAAAATCTCCTATTTCAGGCCAGCAAGATACTCATCAGGTAAGGCATGTGCCACCAAGCCTGAGGATCCGACTGTGATCCCTGAGCCCCACGTGGTGGGAGGAGAGCACTGATTCTGGCTGGTTGTTCTCTGACCTCCACATGCACACCGCGGCAGGCACCCTCCTCCACCAGGAAATAAATAAGTGTAAAATGTTCTATTTCAAAAGAATGGTGCATCAGAGAAATGCAAATCAAAACAACTCTGAGATACCATCTTATACCTGTCGGAATGGCTAAGATCAAAACTACCAATGACAGTCAATGTTGGAGAGGATGTGGAGCAAAGGGAACACTCCTCCACTGTTGGTGGGAATGTAAACTTGTACAACCACTGTGGAAATCAGTATGGCGGGTTCTCAGAAAATTAGGAATCGAACTGCCTCAAGACCCAGCCATCCCACTCTTGGGCATATACCCAAGGAATGCTCAATCATACCACAGGGACACATGTTCAACTATGTTCATAGCAGCACTATTTGTAATAGCAAGAACCTGAAAAGAACCTAGATGTCCCTTAACTGAAGAATGGATTAAGAAATGTGGTACATATACACAATGGAATACTACTCAGCAGAGAAAAACAATGACATCATAAAATTTGCAGGCAAATGGATGGAACTAGAAAATATCATCCTGAGTGAGGTAACCCAAACCCAGAAGGACAAACATGGTATGTACTCACTCATAAGTGGATGCTAGATATAAAGAAAAGAAAAATCAGACTGCAACACACAGAACCAGGGAGGCTATATAGCAGGGGGGACCCTAGGATGACTGTGGCTTATAATAAGTTTTGGTTAATATACTCAATTACTGGCCAAACCTCAATGAAACATTTCACTATGAGGATAAGAATTTATACTGTATCAAGCTGATAATAAATAAATAAATAAATAAAAATGGGAAGAGAAAAAAGAACAGGGCCCGGCGTACTGTAGGCACTACGCTTTGTTTGGGGAGGGACATCAGATGTTAAGTTCACCAAGGTGAATTTCTTGTTGTTGTTGTTGTTCAGAGTCACATTATCAAGGTGTGAGACACCTCGGGACCAACAGAAAATGGCTTCTATTATCTAAACTTGCATTTGAACAGTAAGGATGGGCTGGAGAGATGGCCCAGTGGTTAGAGCACTGGCTGCTCTTCCAGAGGACCTGGATTCAGTTCCCAGCACCAACATGGAGGCTCACAACCATCTGTAGCTCTGGTTCCAGGGCTCCGACACTTTCTTCTGTCTCCACAGGCACTATCCATACACAGTGCACCTACACACATATGCAGGTAAAGTACTCAAATAAATAAAATTTTAAAAAGTTTCTTTTTAAAGAACGGGGTGGGGTTAGAGGAGGTAACTGCCCGCATGCAGTACTGCCAGACTCCCAGCGGACAGCAGTCACTGTTAACAGCTGTGAGCTGAGTGTGCATGACTTAAGCCCCTGAGAAAGGATGGCCTGACTCCAGATCACCAGTAGACAGGCTTTTACACAACACTGGCCCTCTCAGTGCCGGGAATTCTGAAGCCTTAACGATTACTGTGGAGAATCAGCAGACCCGAGAAAACAGGACCATTTGCAGTTGGCCTGACTCTGACGTCAAAATGGATTCTTTCCCATGGTGCTTCCCATCCTTCTTGGGAATGCTTCTGATTCTGGAGCAGATGAGCAAATGGTCTCCAAGCAGGTGCCCTGAGTGGACTGTGGCGAATGTTCTTGGTCTTCAGAGTGAAGTTCTTGGCTAAGTGCAGAACTTCCAGAACCTGGCAGTTCTGGAGATGACGGAAGTCGGTCTCACGGTGTCTGCTGCGTCACCTCGTCGTGACAACCCAAACCCCCCAGCCGATCCGTCATCTGGTCGATGAGGTAGGAGAGACCCTCTCACAGCATCTGCCCTCAACTCCAGTCAATATAAATCAGAAGGAAAGAGGACTTCTTCCGAACACCAAGATAATTTCTTAGCGGTGTGGTTTAAAGTGCTGGCGTTTTTACAAAGCAGCGGCCCGACTCCCCGCCCCCATTACCTGGTGGTCAGAAACTCAATGAGCTTGTTGGCCTTCTCGTCTGTTTCTGCGGCTGTGTCCACATCTTCTACCTCCTGGGTCATCTGCGGGAGGTTCCCGCTGCTACCGCCTAGACTGATGCTGGAGGACGTGGAACTGGAGCTCAGGCCGGAGTCTGGCACTGGGGACGACTGGTCCTCTCTCAGGAAGTCAAAGCCACCTGGGGGGAGGAGAAGGATGGGCTAGGGTGCCAGCAAGCTTGACGAGGTTTGGAGGTGAACACACATAAGTGTGACACTAAAGACACTTGATTTGGGCTATGGTTATGAGTCATCACTTTTCTTTGCTTAGGGCCTTGGATGCTCTGCTGTGCACACCAGTGTGTATCGGGGACCATGGGGAGATGTGCTGTGTTCCACACTGGGGTTTGACTAGATGCTGTGGTCGAAGGGAGGTACATGGGTGTTTTATGCACATATTAGCCAGGCCAGCAAACAGCCCGACTATAAAAGGTCAATCACCCACTGTACCAGCAGCAGATTAGTCCTAAGTAATGGATAATTTAAACATTTAAAATGACTCTTTTAAAAAACACTAGTTACTCTATGGCTTATGGGTAAGTTATATTTAATGTTTTTGAGTAGATGTGGCTATGAGCTTGACTAACTTAAGTGTGTATTTAATGTGTGTGTGTGTGCACATATGTACATATGAACATACAATGTATACACACATATATGTATTTGGTGCTTAGGATTAGACCCAGGGCCTCATGCACGCTAAGTGTGTATTTTATCACTGATCTATGCTCTAACCATGTATTAGCATATTTTAATATGCTATATGCATGATATTCAAAGAACTATAATATAAGAAAATATTGTTTTCTTTCACTACATATTTGTTTAACACTGTACATCTCTAGTTATACTGTGGTTTGAAAATGTATACATGTAACCATCTCCCTTTCTTCTATTTCTGAAATCTGTGTTCCGTCAGATTCCAATAAAACACAGACAGTCACTCAGTAGACGGAAAACCCCTTCATGGGAGCAAGGAGGCACAAGAGAGATACCCAGCACACTCGCCACGTCCTGCTCAGGCAGGACGATAGTCACCTTGTCCCACAGCCTCATCCTTCAGTGTTCTGGGTCAGCGCTCTTGACCAATGAGCATTTTATGTCCGTCCATCAACAGGAACAGACTCACTGGGGGCAGCAGTAAAAAGAATTATGAAAAATGCACTTTAAATACTCAACCACGAGAAGGCTTTTTAGAGGCATGTTCACGTGAACCGGTGTTATTTTCTTATGCAGAAAAGTCAGACCCGATAGCCCAAGAGGAGGAGTGTGGCTCCCTGCCTCCCCCCACCCCCAGTCATCTCCCACTGGTGACGCTGTCCCATCCACCTCTTACCTGTGTAGAGATATTCGGGCTGGTAGGCTGGCTGCATGGTCAGTGTCTTGGCTTCCCCCATCTCCCGGGTCTGCAGGAGCACAGAGGCAACGGCGTGAAAGTTGCTGTTACAAGAGAGGGCGATGAGGAGGTGAAGGAGCAGCTTTTTGCTGTGCTCGAAGACTTCAGGCCGATAATGGTCCAAACCTGGAACAGAGAGCCCAATCTCTTAATATCAACAAACGCCAAGGCTCCTGGAGATTCCGGGGAGATGGACGACCCCCGGATGCTGGCAGGAATGCATGGGGGAGAAGCGTTAGTGGTCTTTGGGTTGCCAACATAAAGAAGTTGGGCTTAGGGAAAACAAGCTTTGTGACTGAAATATTGACTGGAGGCCTTTTCTAGACCTCTCTGTAGTATTTAATGTGGTTCACATTCTTTCTTCTTGATGTATCCTCTTCCCTGGATCTGTTTGTGAGCTCTGTCCTGCTTGGCTTTGAGTTTGCCTTTGAGTTTGAGATCTTCCATCAGCCACTGAGTACTGGGATGCGCCACCACACCAGGCTTAAAGGGTCTACATTTTATTTCTCTCTTTCCAACTTAACGTGTTCTAGATGGTTCCTCTTCCACTTTTTGCCTGTCACTTGAACATCTAAAGCAAGGGGCTTCGCCTGCCACCGTCCCTGTTACATCTCTCTTTGCTGTGATCAACGTCATGTCTTTCCATTTGTCCCGTTGGCTGAGGACCCCTCCCCCACCCCCAGTAAGCTCAGACTATTCGGGGTGTCTTCACAGATGCATCATGAGTATATTTAGATTACAGACATGTCAGTGTTAAGCTATGACTGATCACCCGGAACAAGACCTATTACAGAGTAGAAAGGTATAATGAAAAAGGAAAGGGCTGATTTCAGAACTGCAGCTAAGCTATGCGGGATGAAGGACACGTCGACGAGTTCATCATCCTGTTGGTTAGCATTCCCCTTAGAGCCAGTCTTACCTAAGAAGACGGCGTGAAGTAACAGTGGAAGATGAAGAGCCCAATCTTCTCTCACACTGTGGTCCACCACCATCTCAGTCATAAAGATCACTGCAATATTGCACCTGACCAACAAAATGGAGAAGTGAACGCAATTTCTATAAAGGATGAAAATACATTGGCAGTTCAAGTCGCAATTAAATGCAACTAAGATTCACCGAAAAATTACATAAAGGTACTTATTCAAGAGAGAAAGAATTTTTAAAAAGATTTATTTAATTTTACTGTGTGTATATGTGAGTGCCTAATTGTGTACCGTGCACATGCAGTGCCTGTGGAGGCCAGAAGAGGGCACTGGGTCCCCCTGGAACTGGAGGTACAGGTGGTTGTGAGCTGCTATGTGGGTGCTGGGAATGGAACCCAGGTCCTCTGCAAGAGCAGCCAGTGCTCTTAACTGCTGAGCCAGCTCTCCAGCCCCCCCCCCAACTCCCCCACCCCCACCCTCCATCTCCAGACAGCACAGATCCCCACTTCAAGAAACATCTTTTAAGCTTATCACAGAATGGTAAGTCTTCTAGCAACGAGAGCTGAAGAAGACATTGAAGAGGAGTCCATCTCTTCAAGTTGTGTGCAGTCTAACAAGCATCACTGAATTAGTTTCAAGCTTATATCAAGGGAAAATCCAAAGCATCACAGGCTGATTGATATTTTACTAAACTCTGCTAATATTCTAGGAGCTGGTTGTAAAGTCAGGGAGGCCCCCCCCACTGATTTAAAAGGGACCTCCTTTAGTGAGACCAGGCCACAGTCCCTCATCTCCCTGGTAGAGAAGCCCAGTGGAAGCAAAGTTCTCATTTCCCTCTGCCTACGCATGCCGCCGCTCACCTGTGCAGTGGCCCGCGTGGAGTGATGGTCTCTGGGAGGTAGTCGACCAAGGGGGCCCAGCATCCTCCAGTGCATGGCATGGGTAAGGGCTGTGGCTGCTTGGCCTCCGTAATAGTTAACAGCCAGCTCGTGTAGGGAGAGATTGGATCATCTGGAGGTTAAGAAAGACAGGCTGCTTTATTTTCTGGGGGAAACAAGACTTGTGTGTACCATAGTTGGTGTTTTTAGAAAGCATCTTGCGGATGTATGCTTGTCAAAACAACAACTTACTAAGCGTGACTCACATCATCAAATGAGTTAGAATTGGTTGATTATGTAATTATTTGATTAATTATTACTTGATGATTTATTCACTATAGAGCAAAGAAAAATACAGATTAAAAAATGTTCAACCATGATTCTTGTGAATGGGAAATGTCTTCAATCTTCCCCACTGCACAGAAATGAAGTTCTTTTTTAAAAATATATCTATATTATATATAGATATACAAAATTTATTTTTATTTTATGTGCATTGGTGTTTTACCTGCATGTATGTCTGTGTGAGGGCATCAGACCTTGGTGTTACAGACAGTTGTGAACCAACATGTGGGTGCTGGGAATTGAACCCGGGTCCTCTGGAAGAGCAGCCAGTGCTCTTAACTACTGAGTCATCTCTCCAGCCCCTATTTATTTTTATTTATATGCATGTGTATGCCTGCCTGAACATACGTCTTTGCACCACATGTGTGCAGTTGCCGAAAGAGGCCAGAAGAAGGCACCAGATCCCCCTGGAAATGGAGTTACAGAGGTTAATTAGCTGCTAATATGATGCTGGGACTTGAATCTACTGCTGTTTCTCCAGAGGACCCAGGTTCAATTCCCAGCATCCACATGGCCATTCACAATAATCTAGAACTCTAGTTCCAGGGGAGCTAGCACTCTCTTTTGGCCTCTATGGGTACTGCACACACGTGGTGTCTAGGCATGCATGCTGGCAAAACCCTCATAATGTAAACAATTAGAAATATAACAGTTCTTTAAGAAAGTTCTACAGCGCAGACTTGTATCACTGGAGTGCACTTTGTTTCTAGAATTTCTTCAACTCCTAGACAATTTATATTTATACTGACTATATCTACAGAAGCTGCTGAGGCCTCAGACAAAAGCTACGAGCGCATTAATCTTTCTGGTTTATCCAACTGCTCATGGCCTAAAGAAATTCCAGTACAAAGCCATCCCCCAGCTTAGCAAGGGTTTCTGAGAGCATGCCATGGGGAGTTTCAGTGGGAGATCATATCTTAGCCTGGGACTATAGATGTACAAGGTTGAAAACTTAAATTCACTTCCAAGACATTTCCTTTCTTTAAAAAACATTTCTTTAAACAAATTATTTATTTGTTTTTATTAAGTTTGTGTGTGCTCAAGGTGTCCAGGAAAGGAGTTGGATCCCTCAGAGCTAGAGCTGCAGGCCGCTGTGAGTCACCATGTGGGTGCTGGGAACCGAACCCAGGTCCTCTGTAAGAACAGCCAGTGCTCTTCAGTGTTGAGCCATCTCTCCAGCCCCCGACAATCGTTTCTTTCTTTCTTTTTTTAAAGATTTATTTATTTATTATGTATAGAGTATTCTGCCTGTATGTCTGCCTGCAGGCCAGAAGAGGGCACCAGATCTCATTACAGATGGTTGTGAGCCACCATGTGGTTGCTGGGAATTGAACTCAGGACCTCTGGAAGAGCAGTCAGTGTTCTTAACTGCTGAGCCATCTCTCCAGCCCCCCAACAATATTTTCAAAAAGCTAATTACTTACTAGGCTTTCTCCAACTTGGCATCACCATGGAAAAAAGCCAAGAATACAGAAGCACGGGACTGGGTAGGCTCTTTGGCCTTTAATAAATGATAAAGAGCCTCTCAGATTTAACCCTGCACAGCTGGAACCCCAAAGCCTTGGGTACTCACTTTTATCTTCATCATAGGACCCTCCAGAGCTGTTGCTGTATCTTGACTCCAGGCGAGTGTGGGCTCGGATCACATTGCTAAACCTTCAAAAACAAAACACAGCTAAGAAATGCCAACATGTGGGAACGTGCTCTTGTCCAAAAGCAGGTTCTACAATTTAGTGGTTGACTTTTTTCTTTTTTTTTGGTGTGTGTGTGTAATCTTAGTTCTAATGATGGTACTTTTCTTTTTTCCTTCTTCTTCCTCCTCCTCTTTCTTTAGATGGGGCCTCACTGTGTCGCCCTGGCTGGCCTGGAACTCCCCATGCAGACCAGGTTGGCCTTGAACTGACAGATTCACTTGTTTCTGCCTCCCGAGTGCTGGGATTGTAGGCTAATGCTGCCTGAGTTGCTATGTTTTTCTTAAAGGACTATTACAGCCATTATACCCGAAACATTTCCCTTTCAGTTGGGAGGGCCAGAGGTCCCCTCTTGCATATAGCAAAAGCCCAAACCTTGGGAGAATAATGAAACTTTATGGTAACGTTGTGCTCCAACCACACAATCTAACACCTGTTTCAGAACGAAGATGAGCACGATGCTAAATGTCGCTGACGGGACAGGCTCGCCAGTCGGGCAAACCCACTGAGAGGCTGAGCAAGGACAGACACAAAGAAGCAGAAATGCATGCAGCAGTTTCATGAACAATCTGGGGCTGTGGACAAGTTAAAGCTTCCCTCAGAATACTCAGAGAATTTTCAGGAGCGTGAGAGCTGGGAGAGAATGTAACCATATGATTGGAAGGACTTTTTCACATGTCTCTCTTGCGGATTGTTCAGTTAAGGGAAAAGAGCCGGGCTACACTAACGTCACAAGCAGCGTCTCACTTTGCCTCTCATTTTTGACATAAGTATATTCACCTTACGAATGGGGAAACTGAGGCTTAATGAGGCTACACAACTTGTCTGGTGTCAGCCTTAGGGAGGTGACAGTACAAGGGCACTGTCCACGCCATGATACTTCTGAGTGGGCAGAAACGGAATTTAAGACTGAGTGGGGTGTCTGAGGTGACAGACACCCCAAGGATTCTGATATGATTCGAAAATCAGAATATTGCAATGTGCCTGGTAAATATGTACAATTACTGTGTGTCACTGTGACTCAGTACTTAATCACTAGTTCTATGGCTGTGACCCAGGTGTTTACCCTGAGAACTCCACAAGTGACAAAGAGAGACTAGTAGAAAATATTTTATGCTTTTAAGAAAGTATGTTTTTAACTTGGTTTTTATGGTGTGGGCACGTGTTTGCCTGCAATTGTGTCTGTGCACCATGTTCACGCAGTGCCAGTGGAGGCCAGAAGAGGGCGCTGGATCCCCAGGAACTGGAGTTACAGATGGTTGTGAGCCACCATGTGGGTGCTGGGAATTGAACCCCGATCTTCCACAATAGCAGTGTGTGTTCTTAATCACTGAGCCGGCTCTCCAGCCCAGATTTATGCTTTTATCACGTGTTATTATAATGCTTAGATTGAGATCTGTAGGATGCCTGGCTTCTAGATGCCCAAAGCATTTAAATTAGTCCATGCTCATCATTCTGACACAGGCGTGTGGCTCAGAGGAAATATGGCAAAGTATTGGGTTTATATTAAATAAAATTCAATGGTGTTAGAAGTGGAACCCAGGCCCTCATATGTGCTAGGCAGGAATTCGACCACTGAGGTACATCCCAGCCCCAAATTGGTATATCTATTTATTTCACATGAAAGATTCACAGATGATTCCATCCACTTCTTTATATGTAACCAAAGCAAAGAGCCAAGGTGATGCACAAACATCAGAAAACTCAAGCTGACATGGACGTGTTTCCCTACGTGACTGGTTGGGCTTTTTGTGCTAGGTAACACGGGATGCAGATGCCCTCAGAGGATGTGGACCGTCTTAGGTTTCTATTGCTGTGACAAAGACCACAATCAAAAGCAACTTGGGGAGGACAGGGTTTATTTTGCTTAGATATTCTGGGTTGTGGTCTATCATCGAGAGAAACCAGCAAAGGACCTCAAGGCAGGATCCTGGGGTCGGGAACTGAAGCAGAAGCCATGGAGTAATGCTGCTTACTGGCTTGCTCTCCGTGGCTTGCTCAACCTTCTTTCTTTCTTCCTTCCTTCCTTCCTTCCTTCCTTCCTTCCTTCCTTCCTTCCTTCCTTCCTTCCTTCCTTCCTTTCTTTCTTTCTTTCTTTCT